TGACATGAAGCTAAACTGAACCACGATCCAGATCAAACTCTGAGACTGGGCCACCATGTTTGCTCTAACTCTGTAGCAACACGTTCACTAGAGATGCATCCTGCAGGTTTAATTATTCAACATCTGTGGATCGATTAAAAACTGAATTTAGTTTCAGAGATTTATCACCATTAATAATTTATGAATTTAGACTAAGGCTATGAAAATGAACTTGTTAAACCTGTTAACTAACATCAACTGACAGTCGTAATAAAAACATTTAGAAGGCATTAATTCAGTTAATTTGAAACAGTTAATCTGATTCATTCACAGCCACTCTGTGATTAATCACATTACAGATTTGAACCGTTTGACAGTCAGAAACTCAGTCAGAACCGAGTCTGGGAGGTGAAGAGGTTCTGGAGAACCTGTAGCAGCAGAGAGCCTTAGTGTTGTTCTGCCAGCGGGGGGCGCTGTTCCTCTGACTACTGTGTGTGTGACAGGATGATGTGGGCAGCTGGAGCCGTGGCGGCCATGTCCTCCATCACCTTCCCTGCTGTTTCTGCTCTGGTGTCGCAGTCAGCTGACCCAGATAAACAAGGTGAGTCTGATCAGCAGCCCGGACTCTGACCAGAACCAGAACCAGAACCCGCTCTGACTGTCTGTCCGCCTGCAGGGGTCGTCCAGGGCATGATCACGGGGATCCGGGGCCTCTGTAACGGCCTGGGCCCCGCCCTCTACGGCTTCATCTTCTTCCTGTTCAACGTGGAGCTGAACACTCTGGACCCGATCCAGGAGGAGTACAGCATCGACCCGCTGCCGCTGCACGGACCCACAGAGGTACAGAACCATTCAGAACCCTACAGAACCCCACTAACTGGGCCTCATCAGGACTGGAGGGAAAACTGAAATAGAGGGCGATACTGGAACCACGGCGGCTGGTTTTCAGGCTGCTGCTCAGTTTTGAATGTTTGATTTATAAATGCAGCAGAACCAGACAGTAAAGCATGAAAATAACTGAAATGATCATTTTTATTTTCCAGTTTATGAACAGAAAGAGATTCTAGTGAAATGTCAAAGTCAGGGTCTCCAAATGTTTTGGCTCAAGGGCCAAGAAATAAAAACTGAAGAGGATTTTGCACATTTGTTGTATTAAATCAGATTCTTTTGGGCTCAACTGAATAAATTTATTCTCGGTTATAAGAAAAGAATTTCTCTTGAAACACTTTCTATGTTTAGCCAAGTTCAATAAATTAGATTTGGGTGAAGCAAAGTCTCTGGATAAACCTGCTTCTACTTATTATAAGAACTTCATATATTTATATATAAACTACATATAAAGTTATTTTACTTTTGTCAAGTAATTGCTGTAATTTATGTAAATGCCTCCTGACTTTATTTGTATGAGTTCTGTCACATCTGATAAACATAATAAAAAAAAAAGCATAAATAAAAAACAGATTAATAATTTCCTGAACTGGAGTTGAAGACCACAGTAAAAGCGTTGTGGGTCCAGAATCGGCCCGTGTTCCTCAGGTTGAGCCCCTGCCTGGTTGCTGAACTGCAGCGTTTCTCCTGTGTTGCAGCAAGCGCTCATCCCGGGGCCACCCTTCCTGCTGGGCGCCTGCACCGTGGTCATCGCCTTCCTCGTCGCCCTCTTCATCCCCGAGAAAACCTCTTGCTCCTCTTCCTCCTCCTCCTCTTCCTCCTCTTCCTCCTCGGAGCTCTCCCTCAGCGACAAGCCCCTCCCTGACAGCAAGGAGGCGCTGTCCTCGCTGGCCGGCGTCCACATCAACACGCCGCTGCCGGGCAGCGACGAGGAGGCCCCGCCCTCCGCCAACGCCGAGGACTCTGAGCCGCTGCTGCACGACAGCATCGTCTGAGGAGCCATGGGGGCGGAGCCTCTGCCGCTGGGGGTGGAGCCTCTGCAGCCGGTGGGCGGAGCCTCTGCCACTGTGTTTTCCTGTGTTTCCGTTAGCAACGCGGCTGGACTGAGTGTACTTTTCTCGTCGGAAGTTTTTGCCTCTTTGCCGATCGGCGGGATGAACTTTTAGCTTCAGAGGGGCACCATCCTGACCAATCAGGATCCATCTTTAATGAGCCAATCGGACGCAAGCATGGAGGTCTGCAGGGAAGAAAGGGAAGAAATCAGAGGGTGGGAGGAGGCAGATCCTTAACGTTTTAATGGAGGAGTTCACTTCATCTTTAAGGCTTTTTTTACTCTTTTGGTCATTTTGAACGTGTTTTAATTCAGAAGTAAACTTTAATGGCAGCCAAAACATCCAGGTTTATTTATATGTTTGTTTTTTAAATCAGTCAGTGTGTTTCTGTGGGTGGAGATTGTATTAAAACCAGCTAAAACAAGAGAAATGAACCGTTTTTAATCTCACTCTGAGATTAAACCAAAGCAAACTATTGATTACTGACAATAATTAGAAGGAAACAGGAATGGATCCTTACATTCCCAGTAAAACAAACGTTTTGGGTTTTATTTTTCCCTGTGTCCCTCTACCTCCAGTTTTTATGTTTCTCTCAGTGCTGCTAGCTGCTGGCAGAGGAAAACCCTTCGCCTGGCTCCCTGACGCCTCAGGGTCGGTTTAATTCGTTCCAAACCAACTCAGTTTCACTCGAGGCTTTTTTCCCTGGCAGCAGTGAAACTCCTGAGAACAAACTTTATACTTGAAGCATCCGACAGAGATTCCAAGAGCTTTAGAGAAGATTTGAAGCAGAGTTTTAACAGTATTTAACTGCCACACTGTGTACAGAGTGAGCCATGTCATGACTTTAAATGTAAATGCACTTTTGAATGAGACTCTGGTTTGTAAATACTGTAAGTGTGACGTGGGATCAGCTAGTTTTCTGTCTCCGGTCGAGTTTAAAGGACACATATCATCACATTTTCCTTTTTTTTAAAAATTTTTTTCAGGATTATGGCTGATGATACTCGGAGTAATTTTCTACTTCTGAAATAGAAAATGTTGCCAAAGAAAGCCGGCGTTCAACTCAGAATTCAGCATCAAAGTTCACCTGAAATTATAGTCTGAGATCAGAAACTGAATATTTATGGACAGGGACGAGACCTAGCAAACCAGCCCCACATGCAGGTATTTAAAAGCACCCACTGGGGCAAATGGCTGCATTTCCATTACAAATGATGATATTCTTCTAACATAAAAAACACAATTTTGCAGTTGCTGTGTTTCCATTAAATAGGAAATGCAGTTAAATTTGCGTGAATAAGTTTTTCTATATATGAAGTGTTTTACTGCAAGTCACAGAACGAGCAAATTTATGAAAACTTTGACTTGTAGTCCAGAAAGTCTGGTAATTTGAAACAGAAACTGAAATAGTGTTAAGGTAGATGTAGTTTCTGCTCCAGTTCTGACCAGCATTCTAACTCCTCACTGACACATCCAACAGCAAGCCATGCAGTGATTATTCAACTCAATTTTCTCCATATAACCTGTCATTTCTTTCTTTTACTTTGAGTCAAACAACAATAGTAATGTAGTTTATTGCTCCATCACTTCACCCACTCTAAAAGCCTGTCTGACTCTGTGCTAGAAGCTAATGCTAAACATCGAGTTTCTCTCCTTCATTTGGCTCAGACATGGAGAAGAAAAAGCTAGTTATCATGACTTAACATGAAGAGTCCTGGTTCATTTTGATAGCGGCAACAAAAAGCCAAAACTTTCTTAGCTGATGAACTTTATGGTCACAAACAGCCGCGGTTAGCATCTGAACTTCCTGTCCAGATAATGATATGGAGATCAATCGCTGATGCTGATTCATTTTGTTCATTTTTAGGTTTTCTAGCCTGACTGATGATATGTGTCCTGTAAATCAAAGGCTAGCTGTTTCTGCTCTTGGAATGCTTCTTCTGGCTTTTTAATTCCCAAATCCAGTCAGAACCGCAGAAGCCTTTTCAGACAGGAGGAGGAAATTCTCCAGAACCAGAACAGAACTGAAGTGCCGTTCTTACAAACCTGGGAAGGCGGGATCCGTTTTTTTCACGGATCGGTTCGGAAACATCTCCGTGTTTTCTGCTTTGTGGGCGAGTCTGGCCTCGGATGGGCAGCTAAATGTTTCTGTAACGTTTTTGTATCCAATCAGAAGCGATCTCAGTATGCTAACACTCAGACCGGCATCAGGGCTGGTTTGTTTTTTAAACTGGAATTCAGCAGAGCTGGATTGAAACCACTTAAACACGTTTATTTTTTTAGCTCTTTTGCTAATCAAACGATTTGGTGAAACGGTTTTCCTTTGGAAGTGTTGCCGCCTCTCCTCAGCGCTCCTGTAAATACTGATCCCAGCCGCGGCCCGGTGCGATCCGCTGTGAAACCGGGCCGGTTCTGTAAATACTGTACATGGATTGACTGGATGTCTGTGGATGTGAGCTGAACTGGGATGTCGTCTCGTCTGGAGCTGTATTGATATTAAAATGGTACAAACACGTTTCACATCCGCTTCATGTCTCATTCCTGTTTACTGGAAAATATGATTAGTTTTGGTTTTTCTGTTGAATTTTGGCAAGTATGGATAAATATATGGTACTACTGGAGACACAGGGACAATGGATGTTCGAACATCCATCCATTCATCCATCCCAACATCTCTCCATCCAATCATTGGTTCATCCATCCATCTTTTCCCAATCAATGCAGTCTTGTTTATTGTCCATTTGTTCACCATTAATATTTCTATTACACTATTTAAAACCATCCATTTTTTCTAGATTTGTCTGTCCATCCATCAATTTATTCTTCTATCCATTTAAATATTGATTTGAACCTTAATTCAACCAACCATCATTTATTCCAATCTGTTTTTCTTACAGTCCATCCATTTTCTAATTCTTTCATTAATCCATCCACATTTGCCATCCATCCATCCATCCATCCATCCATCCATCGCCACGAGTTCACTCTCAAATATGAACAGCGGCCCCTAGCGGGCAACTTCAGGCATCCTTAAGAAACGCCAACGACTCGGCCAATCAGCGCTTCAGTTTTGAGGTCACGTGGCCTCGCAGCCAACTAGATTACGGCCTGAACAGGCAACAACAAACATGGCGGCGGATCCGGAGAGGAGCTGGACGGAGGAGAAAGAGAGGGCTCTCATTGCGTTTTTCTCCAGTAAGTCCGGCATGTTCGGTCCGGTTTTCTTCTCCATACGGACTCGGCTCCGGTTCGCTTCCCTCGGCAACGTGTTGCTAAAGCAAGCAACAGTTTTGGGACGTTAGAGTGGGGGAGGAGGGGAAGGCAACCGTTGCTCAACGAAAGCAACGACTTGAAGCAACAATCGACGAGCAACCGGAATGAAGGTTATGTGTCCAAACTGGAAATAATTCAGACCAAAGCTTTTCCTCCTGGTGTTTTATGGACGTTTCATTTGGATTTCTGTGTTTAAACACAAAAGATTTTAAACCTGATTAATTATCAAAGACGTTCATCACCGGAAGATTATGCAATTATTAATTAAAATTATTATGTCAGACATAAAAGGCTGGTTGATATTTAAAGTTAAAGCTTCACTAAGCAAAAATAACAGTTATTTTACACAACGTCAGACTGGAAAGATATCAGCAATAATTCTCTATAGGATCAATTAATGTCTTTAAAAGCAATACTTGGGATTTTTCAGCTTTTTAAAACTCATTTATTTTGCAGTTTAATGGTTTTTTTAATTTGCTTTCAAGCTGGTTTCCAGTATCAAAGCTTCAGTAATAATTTTCCATTAACACAGCTTCTTCCCCAACCTTTGGCTGTGCACTGTTGGTCAGCTGGCTGAAAAAAGCCAACTACAAACAAAATCAAATGTTCAAAGTTAATGTAAATTGAAAAATCACTGCAATATTTAAAAATAACTATATTCATTTAAACTTTTCCTGTTTAAATCAGTGGAAACTAGATCATAACAAACATCATTAGCATCTCTGATTAATGCAATGATGACATCAAACTTCAATATTTTTTACTAATATTAGATACTGTGAGAATTAACCCAGTAATACAGTCGCAGAAGAAACTAAGTCCACCAGGACTATAATGAGTATAATGATTAACCTTTCATTGATGATGTTATCTTCCTTAAAATCAGGAGTTTATTCCAGTTTGGTGACTTTCTGAATGTCTTTCAAAGTGTTTTTGAGTAAAATGAATATCAAATTATTGTTGTGAAGGCCTAGTCCACACAAAGCTGGATATGTGGAAAATCTGATACATTTTATGTGTTTGGCCTTTCATCCACATTAAAACTCAGCTCAACATTATTAAAATTATTATTTAGGAGATTTGTGAAAACTCCATAGTTTACATGGAAAACCAGTTTTGGAGTCCCTCACTTTATAATCTCCGACAAATAATTCACCAATATATCTACATACTTTATGATCAGCATCGCTTTGTGTTTCAATTATTATATTTTATTAATCTTCTATTTAAAATAAGCTCAACCTACAAACGCCACCATGTTTGATCTTAGCAGGAAGTGGTGTTTGTTTTGAAGCAATATGATTGGCTGACAGATTTTAGCTTAGTGCTGCACTGCCCCCTATGGGTTTGGCATGTTTGTAACAACCCTAACAAGCAGTTTGTGCGAGTTTGAGGATGAAAACTTTTCTGAAATTGATTTGCTTGTACAATATTTTTTTTAAACGATGTGGTGTCGATATTTGATCCAGCTTCTTGTGGAAAAGGTAAAAGTAACGTCTATAAAAGTAGCTGTTTGCCCCAAAAAGAAGCCAAACATGATGAAGCTAATGGCTACGACTGTAGCTAAGTGTCTTCTTGTTCTCTAGAGAACAGCTGTTTGTGGAACTACAAGTCTGAGGACTACAAGAACCGGGATCTGCGATGGAAAACCCTGGAGCGCCTCCGGATCCTGCTCTCCTCCCAGCCGCCTCCCGTTCCGTTCACAGGTACCCATGTGGCTAACGCTGCACCGCTAACAGCTCTGACCAGAACCACTGCAGCGGTTAAATGTTTGAACAGAGCTTTTGAATGGGAGAAGATGTGCCAGATTGCTAGATCTGAAACCAACAGGAAGGTCTGGCAAAGTGACGATCAGCCAGAATGATGAGATTATAGGATATCCAAACATGCATCCATCCTGGTTTTTATACTACACTAGCTGTAAATGGATGGAGATTTCTGGAAAAGTCTGACCTTTGACCTCAGCGTTCTGGTTCCATCTAATCTTTTCTGTGTTCTTCTTCTCCAGTGGAGGACATCAAGAACAAGTTTAAGAACCTGCGTACGACGTTCCAGCGCCAGTACAAGCTGGTGCGTCTGAGCGGCGAGGCCGGCTTGGTGCAGCAGTGGAAGCACTACCAGCAGCTGAGCTTCCTGCAGGGCTGCTGCGAGCCAGAGGAGGGCGCCGACGAGACGCCGCCCTCCCCGCCCGCAGAGGAGAACTGGCTCCCTCCCACCTCACCTGGACTCAGCATATCCTTCCTCCACTCCTCTTGCTCAGGCGGCGCCGTTGGCAGGAGCTTCTGGACGGAGGAGAGGGAGCGGGAGCTCATCGCGTTCTACGCAGGTGAATAAATTAAACCGCGGCTTCAGGGAGAGACGAGGTGACGGTTTGCTCCTGACAGGTTTGTGTTGATGTGCAGAGCACAGCTGTCTGTGGAACAGGAAGTCTGAGAATCACAACAACCGACAACTCAGACAAAATCTCCTGGAGTCCCTCAGGATCCGCCTCTCGGACCAGCTGGTTCTGTTTTCTGGTAAAAACGACTCAAACTCCTGATCCTCCTCTGTTCTGCACAAATTCCTCAACAAGCTAAAGGACTTTAATAGGTTTTAAAAAGTCCAAAACAAAGGATTTTACTCTGGACTTCGGTCACTTTTCTGTCTCTGTTTCAAACCTCTATAATTTACAGCATTTTAAAAAAAGCTAAGCTAAACTTATGGTAGGCTAATGCAGTGTTTCCCAACCCTGGTCCTGAAGGCACACTGGCCTGCATGTTTCCATCTGATTTCAATCAATGACCGATTAACAGGCGTTGAGTCAGACACATCAAATCAGGGAAACCTCTAAAACATTTAGGACAGGGGGGCCTGAGGACCAGGGCTGGGAAACACTGGGCTACGTTAAGGTAGGCTGGCTAAGATCTAGTCTAAGATTAATTTTAGGTTAGCTAAGCTAAAGTTTCTTAAGCTAAACAAAAATAAGCTAAGTAAAACTTGAGACAGACTAAGGTAATGTTAGCTAAGCTAATGGTAAGTTGAATAGGCAAAATTAAATGAAGTTTAAATGGCTAAGCTAAGGCAAAATTCAACAGTGATAAATTAAGCTAAGCCAGTTTTAAGGTTGACTAATGTAAAGATAATGCAATGAGAGGGGGTTGATATGTCAAACTAAGCTAAGGTTCACTATGCTAACATTAGGTTAGGTAGGCTAAGAGAAACTTATAAGACGCTAGCCTAAGGTGATGTTAGCTTGGTGAAGCTAAACTAAGCTAAATAGGTTAATGAAGGCTAAGATGAATTAATTAAATGTAGGTATTATATGCTATGTATATTAAACTAAACCTAAACTGTACAGTATTCTAAGCTAAGATACTGTTAGCATGAATGAACCTACTAAACAAAGAGACTCTGCTAGTTTTCTGTTTTGAGCTGAAAATGAAGTTTTTAAAAAATCTTTTCAGATTTTGTCAAAGCTCCAGTTTTTAGCCAGCAGCTATTTGGGAAATGAAAAATTAGCCAAAGTGCTAAAAACATTAAACATCATGATAAATCTACAGAGCTGTTGATCAGGTCCGCCTTAAATCTGCAGTCAAAGCCGCAAACTTCCTTTTTTAGCTTCTTAACAAACATTTACTTCATTTTTTGCAGTGGAAGACGTAAAATCCAAGTTCAAGAACCTCCGGACAGTTTTTAACCGGGAATTCAAGGCGGTCCAGGCGAGCAGAACCTCGGACCAGCCCTACGTGTCCAAGTGGAAGCACTTCCACCAGATGCTCTTCCTCTGCGAGTCGTTTGAGGAAGACGAGTTTCCTGACGGCCCGCATGAGGGAAGCCGGACTTCCTGCTCCGCCCAACGCGGCGTTTCCGCCTCCTCCATCGACGCCTGCAGCATAAAGACGGAGAGCAACTCCATCACCTGCTCCGCCTTCCAGGTGTTCCCTGCAGCTCCAGACCAGACCGAGCTAATGGATCCCAGAGCGCCGTCCGGATCGCCGCCGGACAGGAAGCCCGTTCGGGTTCTGGTTCCGGTTGACGACAGGGCGGGCGGCGAGTCGCGCTGCCTGTGGAGCGAAGCCAAAGTTCAGCAGCTCATCTCGTTTTACGCCGGTAATCCAAACACTGTAAAAACACAATAATCAGTTTCTACTGCTAATATATTAGTACACTTCAAATCAGACAAAACTAACTTACAAGTAACTTTTCAGCAAAATACAGGAGCTTTATTTAAGTCAGTAATTCGTATTGATGAATATTGATGATAAATATTGTATTTAGGCCTTTTGCAATGAGCAATAAATCAATTAATTGCATAATAAGTTAAAAAGTCACTTGTTTCCATTTACTTATCGATTTTGGATGATAAAAGTTTTCAGTTTGATGTTTTGGTCTCAACCAGCTTCTTTTTCTGAAGAATAATTTTGTTTTCAGAGATTCATGATTTATTTTGTTTGCTTTGTTTATGTAAAATGTCTTCCAGTTCCAGTGTTAAATATTCACTAGAAATTAAAGTTTATAGATTCATGAAAATGAGTTTTTTCATTATTAAATAAGATAATGTTGTTTTGAGACCAATTTAATGAAGTTCTACTGCAACTACTGGCTGTTTGAGACCAAAACAACAAAACTGAAACTTTTATCATCCAGTTTTTGGTAGAAAAACAATAAATCATGAAAATGGAAATTATTGAGTTTGTTTTAATTTATGATGCGATTTATTGAATCGATAATAAGATGAATGTCCAGCCGTAGTTCTACAGAGTACTGACCCGGCAGCTGATGAACACGCCGCACTTTTCAGCTTGTGCCTGTGTTCCAGAGCACAGCTGCCTGTGGAACCACCGGGTCGACAGCTTCCGGAACCGGCTGCTGCGGCAGAGCCTGCTGGAGACGCTGAGCGGCCTGCTGTCCGCCGGGGAGCCCGTCCCGTTCACAGGTAACCGGGCCGGTCCAGAACCGGAGCCGGAACCAGAACCAGAACCCACCAGCTTCTGCTCTCCTCCCTGTTCCAGTGGAAGACATCAAGACGAAGTTCAGGAACCTGCGGACCATCTTCCAGCGGGAGCACAAGGCGGTGAGCGCCAACAGAACCTGCGGCTCCGAGGATTTCTACCTGCCCAAGTGGAGGCACTACCTGGACCTGCTGTTCCTCTGCGACTCCGACGGCGACGAGGCCTCCGCCCAGATCGGGCCGGCCTCCGCCCAGAACCCGCCCGTCCTGCCGTCACCGACCCCCCCGGACTCCTGGCTCTCCTGCTCTTCCTCCTCCTCATCCTCGTCTTCGACCCGCAGCAGGAAGCGAGCGGGTCGGCCGGCGGCGGCGCCGAGGAGCGGGCGCCGCGGCGAGGCGCCGCACGCCGGCTTCCTGAAGTACGTGGAGGAATGTCTGAACGAGGCGCCGCCGCACAAAGTGAAGAAGATGAAGAAGAAGATCATCGAGACGATCCACAGCCTGGAGGAGGACGGATGAAAAACACTTGAAAAAATACTTTAGAGTTTACAGCAAAGTACTGGGGCCACTAAGAATATAAAAATAAAATGTGAATAATTTATTTAAAATATTAACAAAGTCAAAAGGATAAATAAATAAACTCGTCTAATTACATTAAATCCAAATAACATGAATAAAAATAGTCCAGCTAATGCAGAAATAAAGTCAGAAAATTACAAAATGTTCTAAAATTTTAAGAATAAAGTCAAACTATGAAAATAAAGAAATAAAAATAGTCAAAATAATACAAAAATAAGGTCCTAAAACTATTTTTAAAATGAAAATGGTAATAAAACTGTAACAATAAAATCCTAAAAGTACAAGAAAAAAAGTGGAAATAATGACAGTCATAAATACCGACTATTTTTATAGTATTTCAACTTTACTCAGAATTTTACGACTTTATTCTCGTATGATTTTTTTCTTATATTTTAATTTTGTCTAAATACTGACTATTCTCATTTTATTTTTATTTATTTTTTCTTATTGTGGCACTAATACTCCATCATTCATGTTCATATTTAAATAGAAATATTTAATGCTGTATTTAAAGACTTTTTGTTTTTATCTGCTCTCATGCTTCCTAATTCTGTTTCACTGTTTAGTTAACGCCACAGTGCCTTACCAAATTTAAATGTATAAATATTTTCTTTTTTAATTTTCCTGTTTAATTTTAATTTTGTGTACTTTTATTTACAAAGGCACAAATTAACTCCTTTTTAATTGTTGATATTCTGAGTTTATTAAACAGGAATGAATCATGAATCTGCAGAAATCCATCCTTTAATAAAATGTCATTTTGAGACGGCTGTGTTTTATGTTCTGTCCACCAGATGGCGCTGTCTGATAAACCACCTTCTTCTCTGCTGGTTTCTCTGCAGTTAGAAACTATCTGAAGAATGTGAACTTTCCGGAGCCGCCGACCTGCTTCACGGGTTTCACCAGCAGAACTTTACAGACTTTTAGCTTCCTTTAATCAGCTCCGGTTGTCTAATAGACGCTCTCCATATTCTGGATCCTTTTGGTTTATAAATATGAGAAAACATCCGTTTGAGGCTTTATATTTTAGCTCAGACTCCTCAGTGTTAGCTTAGGTGATCCCGCATCCTGGTCTCCATCTTTTAGCTCCTAGAAGATCTCAGAGTTAGGAAAAGTCTTAAGACACAAGGTTCTGGTAACTGGCAGACTAATACGTAGTAACAAACACATGTCCGTCTTAGCTAACAGCTATAAGCTACATTAGCTTAGCTCATTTGCTAGTTTACAATAAATATTGCTGATATTTATCTTAATATTACTCAGAGGTGGGTAGAGATCTCAAAAATTGTGATCAAGTAATAGTTGTAATGTACTGATTGTTTATCCACCATATTCCTGGCAGGGTTACTATGGAAACGATTTTGTTCTCACTTCCGGTGCCCACCGGAAGTAACAGTATTTCACTAGATAATTTATAGCGCGAATCTATATTCATGGTAAGCCTTACATCTCTCTTTTCGGTTATTGTTCAATAGTTAGGAACGAGGGGAGAGCTAGCTGTACTCTTGTGGTTTGTTTATTGTTGTCATAGCAACTGCCTGCAAAGATGGCTGTCAGTAACAAAGTTCACAGGTTTAGGGTAGAGAGAGGGCCTCCAGCTACTGATCGCTTCTATTTCCTGGTTTACTCGTAGTTTAGGATGTGTTTTGGTGAAGGCCTCAAAGCAAACCTGGAACCAGCTGAAGAGGTTGTGTTTCATGGTTAGCTTGGGAAGCTAACCTCTTGTTTCCAGACTAGATAATAGTGGTAAACAGAGTTAGTTCATGTTGTCCCTCCATCTGTCCAAGGTCTCCCACTTATCGGACCTTCAGCCTCCATGTTTATCAGGTCGCAGTGGGAACAGCAGGTCAGAAGGGAACGATAGTCCCTCCACTGAACGCCTGATGAAACTGAGAAATTAGTTTGAAAAAGAAAAACAGAAATTTGAAACTCAAAAAAAGATTTAAAAATGGAAAATGTTTTGACACACAAAAAAATTAATCTCTAAGATTTGAAACTGAAACAATTCTTCAAAACTTCTTCTGAGAGTGAGTGTTTCTCTTCGGTTTCAAACCTTTTTCAGTTTTAAATCTTTTTTTACTGTTTGAAACTTTTTCAGTCTCAGACATTTTTTTCAGTTTCAAAATATTATAGCAAATTATTTATTATTTTAGCAAACTTTATGACTCGTAGCCCCGTAGTCTCTGAGAAGGGGCATGTTTTTAAAAATTAAAATCCATTTTAGAAAAACAAATATGTGGGCGGGGCCTAATGAAAGCAGAAGATCCGCCTCCAGTAGTTCCAGGATCTTTTGGTGTTAAAGTTGCTTCTAATCAGCTGATTTTAGTTCTGGTTGGTTAATTAATCATGAAGGAAGTTTAATCTGGTTTTTTACAGTAATCTGAACGCAAACAGAGGATCAACAAACAGCCTTTCACTCCAACATCCTCCTTTTATTCTCAGCTTATCTGCATTTTTGTTCCAGTTTTCTTCATTTGTTTTTTTCTGGACCTTGTTTGGCCTTTTCTTTCTCTCCTTCTCATACCTCTCCCTCTCTCCACTTCACTCCTCCTCTTTCTGTGTCTTTTCTCTTTGCTCGGTGAGTCGCAGTAAATCCTATTGTGATGCTAAACTGATTTTGGGCAGGGAGAGAGAGGGAGAGAGGGAGAGAGAGAGAGAGAGAGGGAGAGAGGGAGAGAGAGAGAGAGAGAGAGAGAGGGAGAGGGAGAGAGAGAGAGAGGCAGAGAGAGACTTTGGATTCATTTTCAGCAGATCTGAGTCTCACTTTGATTCTTCTTCCGCTCTCCACAAACTTTCGGGAATCTTTCCAGGTTGAATCCGGGCGGCTTTTTTCCGGACTCGATCAGCCGCTCTCTGCGCTACAGGAATGCACTTTGCAGGAAAGGCGCAAAACTCCTCCTGCTGCCTTGTTTTCCCCGCAAACCGGGATTTATAAATGAGCGGCGATGCACCTGTGAGCGACCCGGAGTGTAGCAGCTCATTCTGGGCTCCAGCACCGCCGCCGGGCTGAGCGCCGTCCCCGCGGGCCGGGCATGGAGCGCCGCGGCCGGGCGGGGCTCCAGCCGGCGGGCGGAGGAGAGGGAGGCGGATGGGTGCTGGTGGAGGCCCGGCTGCAGGGAGGAGCGCCGTGGGGCTTCACCGTGCAGGGCGGCCTGGAGCACGGACAGCCTCTCATCATCTCCAAGGTCAGGAAAAATCAGAGTTCAGACTCGTTTTACACATTAAACCCGACAAATGAAAAACTTTCCCATCAGCCGGCTCGGATAATAAGCGAACCGAGCTGTTTCTAACAGGGCCAGCAGGGGGCAACAGAACATATTTACAAAGTTAATTCAATTCAATGAATGAAAATATGATTAAATAATCAGAAAAATATTCAATGTAGAGAAAACACAAAAACAAGCTAAACTAGAAAACATATACATACAAAAACAGATGTATTTATAAATACACAAATCTAAAAACATGCAACATGTAGGCCAGTCACCACAAATCAGTAACAAAATCATTTCCATTTACATGACTCACCGTTTTTCTCTTTTTAATAAGCTGTTAGTCACTTCATGGCTTATTTAATGATCGTTTTTGACTCTGGAAAAGTGTTTAAATATTGTTCAGAACGTTTTCAGCGTCTGATTGGCTGAACCATTAAACTCGAGCCTTAAATCTTTCACCATTTTTTTCGTGTTGTTTAAAGTCACAGTTTAAAGTCTAACTGTTAACGAAGCTCATCAGTCGCTCCTGACCTCGTTTTATTAAGATGCAAATCAGCAGCTGCTGACGGAGAACGTAAAGTGGGACAGGAATGTGAGTAATCTGTTTTCCTGATGCATTTGAACGCAGCGACGGCGTCATGTCCAACGGTTCGGAACCGGACCGGATCGGATCGGCTCGGTTTGATCAAACGCTGCTCTGATTCTTCACATGTTGAGCGAAAATCATATTATTTATTTACAGGTTTATTATTATTTTTATTTTTGTTTATTGTTTTATTTCAGTTAATCTTTTTATAGCTTTTGCACTTTTACAGACACTGACTTGCTAAATTTTAATATTTTTACATATTTTTAAATTTTTAATATTTGATGTTATTTGAAAACTTTATGGATTTATCTTAATCTTTTTTATTTATTTATTTTAAGCCAGTTTTTAAAAAAAGAAAACAACAGATATGTTTTGGCTTTAATACGATTTTACTCATTTTTTTTTATTATTTTCTGTCTAATCAATCAGTGTAAAATTGATCCAGGATCAGTTTCTCTGCTGGGTTTTAGTTTTTTATTGATTATTGTCTCAGTTCTGCTGTAACAGCCTGAGCAGCTCTGCTTGGATTTCTCCATCTGCTGGATAATGAATTTCAGCTGGAGTACGAACACACACACACACACACACACACACACACACACACAGAGTCTCGCTGCGTTTCTGCCGTCCTTATTTGGGTTTATTTATCTCTAACAGTCAAACACTGCAGGCATGCGGACGGTTCTGCAGAACTCAGGACGGGTTTCCGTCCGTTTTCCTTCCACTCTGAGCTCCTTACATTCTTATATTTATCACCATTAAACATGATTGAGTTAAAAACCCTGTATCGGTTCTGGTTCTGATGGGTTTGGGCTGTGACACACCCAGAACCCGCCCACGCTTGGCGGTGCTGTAGCAGAGGGGCGGGGCTTATTGGTACCTGTCAGTCGGTCTGCAGCTGCAGGACGGACAGTCAGAGAGTCTGAGTTTGGGTTTCTCCATAAAACAGGAACATTAAGACAACAACGCACTGCCAGAACTCTGAACGATCGCAAAGATCCTGGAAGGAGAGCCGGGATTTTATGGAGCCGCTTTGGAGCAGCAACAGATTCTAAAAACAACTGAGACGTAGAAAAAGAACCGAGCTGCTCACCCCACGGGGAAGAAAAGGTTCAGTCCGCTTTAATCTGACTCCGGTCCACTTTAACCTGACTCCGGTCCGTTTCAACCCGACTCCGGTCCGCTTTAACCCGACTCCGGTCCGCTTTAATCTGACTCCGGTCTGCTTTAACCCGACTCCAGTCCGCTTTAATCTGACTCCGGTCCGAGTCAGCTTTAACCCGACTCCAGTCCGCTTTAATCTGACTCCGGTCCGCTTTAATCTGACTCCGGTCCGCTTTAACCCGACTCCAGTCCGCTTTAACCCGACTCCGGTCCGCTTTAACCCAACTCCAGTCCGCTTTAACCCGACTCCGGTCCACTTTAACCCGACTCCGGTCCGCTTTAAC